CCGCGCCGGGGGCCCCGCCGCCCCGGGGCCCCGCTCCGGGGGCTCGAGCAGGCTCTCCGAGTTCTCCAGGATCTCCTGCAGCAGCCGGCGCTTCTGATACTCCGGTCCTGCGGGGGACAACCAGCGAGGCTGGCCTCGAACCCGGGTCCCACCACCGGTGGCCCTGGGCGAGCCACTTAACGCCGCGCAGCCTGCTTTATCTACAGCCGGCACCTTCCTACGTCTAGCGTGGGCCCAGCTCTATGTCCAGCAGTTTCCAAAGAGGAGCTCATTGTAGCCTTTTAACAACCCTAACTCTGAGGTCCATGCTATTATTGGCCTCATGTGTCCAGAGGAAGAAAGGGAGGCTCAGAGAGGTGACATCACTTGCCCAAAGTCACCCAGCTGACAAAGGGCAGAGCCAGGACCAGCACCCAGTCCGACTGGCTCCGGAGTTTATGCTCTTCACCGTGACACTGGTTTCCTTCCATTCCCTTATCAGAAAAATGGCCTAATCGTACCTATTTCATAAATACTAACGGAAGGGTTAATGGAAAAAAACGCATGAAAAATGTGGAGCTCAGCGCCTGGCACATGGTGACAGCTGTTGCTATGACCACCCAAGGTGGAGGCCCGCCGGGAAGTGTCGTAAAATGTCGCTTTTCCTGGGACCAGCAGGGGGAACGCTGTGCCGGGAGGCAACCTAGCCCCCAGGTACACATCTGTGCTCCACCGTCCCCCGACCGGTCCCCTGTGGTGGCCCTGCTACAGCCAGGATAACATTTAGAAGACACAAGTCTAATCATGCCACTTACCATAAAACCCTTCAGTGCGGAGAACAGCAATCTCCCACCCCCTGGACTCCCCCTGCTCTCTATCCCCCCCCAAGTCTCTATCAGAGGCAGGGTCCTTCTTGCTCTGCAGCCTCTTTTCCCACCAGTTCCTGCCTGTGTTGCTATCTAACCTCCGAGCCTGCCACTCGGCTCCAAGTTTCCGTGCCTCTGCACCTGCACTCCCTCCCCCCTGGTTTGCACCGCCCACATAGCACCGCGTGGGGCCGTGATTCGCAGTGAGTGGTCCCAAACCAGCGGCATCCGCGTTGCCTGATCCTTGTTAGAAAAGCACATTCAGGGGCGCCTGCGTGGCTCAATCGGTTAGTCCTCCAAGTCGGAGGCTCAGGTCATGATCTCGGGGTCCTGGGATTAAACCCCGCGTCGGGCTCTGTATTCAACACGGAGTCCGCTTGTCCCTCTCCCTCTGCTCCCCGCCCCCCATCTCTAAAATAAATAATAAATAAAAATATTTTTTAAAAAGAGCAAGAAAAAGAAAAAGAAAAGCACATTCTGACCTACTGAATCAGAAACTCGGGGTGGGCCCAGCAGGCTGTGTCATGTTTGAGCCCCACTGACCTGGTGAACTCTCGTTCAGCCTTCAGGATTCGGCTCAAACGGCCTCTCCTGAGGGCGGCCTTCGCTGACATCTCCCTGCCTGACTGGGTGAAGTGCCCCCCTGAGCTCCCAAAGCCTCTGTTCAAGCCACACAGAACTGACGCTGTGCAGAATTTAATCATAACGGTGAGACAAGAGCCAAGAGTTATCAAGAGCTCACTGTGGACTAGGCCATGTGTTCCCCACCTGCCATGCATTGGACCCACCCCCCAAAAGTAAGTATTATTCTTACTCTCATTTTACAGATCAGAAAACTGAGGTTTACAGAAGTTAAAGAACTTAACAAGGTCGCTGAGCTGGTTAGCCACGGAGTCAGGACGTGAAAACGTGCCTCACTCCCTGATAGGCTGTCTTCATGACTCTCTGCTCCTTTAGATTCTGAACCCAGAATCCAGGTTTTGTACGCAGAGCCCAGCACAGTGCCTGACACGTGGGCAGCACTCAGTGCCAGACTGAAAGTGATGAGCAAGAGCAGCAGGGCTTTTTACCTCCTCATCCACAGAGACCTCTCCATTTGCTAAGCTTCATCAGCTCAACTGTCAGCCCTGTGTGCAGCCTGGGGTGGGTCCAGTCTGCCACCAGCAGCCTCTGATGCCCCCACCACCATCTCAGCATGAGTCCCCTAGTGTCGCTCCCAAGCTTCTCACCCAAGCTTTCACCATACCCGCCCCCTAGTTGCTTGAACTCACGGACATTTGTGAACTCACTTGGGCACCTCAGCTTTCCAGCAACCAAACAAAAAGAAAAATGGTCCAACCCTGGGGGGTCTGCCCTCACCCTGTCCTGCCCGTCCCCTCCCAGGCTGGCCCTACCTGGCTGGTAGAAATCCGGAGCCAGCTCCCTGGCCAAAGTGCGGGCAATGTTGGACTCCTGGTTGGCAGCGAGGGCGGCCTGTTCTGCTGCCTCAGCTTTGGCCTTGGCGTGGCTTGTCCTGAAGAGACAACATGGTAGAGACTCAGGATCCCTCCAGAAAACCAGACCTCTGCCCACCAAAGACACGCCGGACACAGCACTCATTCACTCAGGCTGCCAATGAAGACGTATTGAACCCTGTGGACCAGACTGCTGTGCATTCCCTAGACCGTTCCCTCTTCCTTCCGGGCACACAGATGGACTACATCTCCTTTGCAGTCAGTGTGGTCAGGTGACTGAGTCCTGGCCAGTGCACTGTGGGAAGACATGATGTATGCTGTTTCCAGGCCTGGCCCATAAAAACCTCCTGTGTGATCCTCTACATCTTCTCCTTTCTCCCTGTTGCTGGTTGAACGGAGGGAAGGCCAACACCCCAGAATGGGGAACTGAACTTCTTTTGTGTCATGGACCCTTTTGGCATCTGGTGACACTTATGGACCCCTTCTCAGAATGATATTTTAAAATGCATAAAATACATAGGATTACATAGGGATGCAATTATATTGACACACTGTTTCCAAAATATTACAGGAACGAATCTGTAATATAATGCATTTTCTTCATTAACGTATTGAACAAAATATCTAGCAAGTGAACTAACCACAATAATTTTAAAGTACAGATTAGCAGAAAGGGTATTTCAAAGATGTCCACAATAGGGCTGCCTAGCTGGCTCAGGCGGGGCAGCGTGAAGCTCTTGATCTTGGGGTTGTGAGTTCGGGCCCCATGTTGGTTGTGGAGATTACTTAAAAAAAATAAAATCTTTATAAAAAAAGATATCTGCAACAATAATAATGTGACATGAAAGTATGTAATTTCCACTGGTGACCAAGTCACAGATGTTTCTAATACTACTATGGTTTATTGCCTACCTCCATAATTGAAGCAAATGCTAAATTTCAGTAATAGGTTAGTAAAAATAAGATAGTTTTTCCATCTGTTGAAGACACTTTGGGTGCCCTGCCCAGAACACTTCGCTGGGCAAATGCACCCACCCCTAGCTCCTGTATAGGCTGCTAATGCTCACTGCTATCCCAGAGAACGGCACCCACAGAAGCCACGCCCCCACTCCAACCAAGTAGCCCACAACTAATGCCTGATGACACCCACTAGTCCCCCTCTTGCCCCAGGAAGAACCAGCACTGTGGTACAAGCCAGGCTACAGAACCCCCACCGTGGAGCCAGGCTGAAGAAGGACTGCAGGTAAGATCACACCCTTGCTTGGTTACTTCCCGGCCCTACCCTGCTTCTGTCACTCTCCTTCTCTCCCGAGAGTGTCCCTTCAAAAAAATCATCTGAGCAAGAATCCCCACCTCAGGGCGCTTGGGTAGCTCAGTTGGTTAAGCGTCTGCCCTCGGCTCAGGTCATGATCCCAGGGTCCTGCTCCCTGCTTAGCAGGGATCCTGCTTCTCCCTCTCCCTCTGCCTCTCCCCCAACTGTGCTCTCTCTGTCTCAAATAAATAAATAAAATCTTAAATTAAAAAAAAAAATCCCCACCTCAGGCTCAGGCTCAGCTAACCTAAAACAGCATCCAAGTTCACAGACTCCCTGAATTCTATCCACAGAAACCCCCCGTGGACACAGAAACACAGCGGAAGGAACCTGGGTCCAGAAATGATTGCTGCGTAGTGCAAAGTTCCCACACTGGAATGTGGAACATTTAGGCATTACATTTAAACAGTCAGTGTGGAACATTTAAGCAAACCTTACATGTTTGTGGTGTTAAGCACCTGAGATTTGGGGGATGTTTGTTTCAGCTGTTAGTCTAGCCAGGAACGCCTACTAAAATAATAATAGCCCCGTTATGAATGGGCCAGGCACTGTTCTAAAGGAATCATGCAGATTATCTCATGCACTCATCATCACGCCTTAGGAAAGATGGTGTCCTTACTATTCTCCCGATTTTGCAGAAAAGAAAATGAGGCACAGAAAGGTGAAATAATTTGCCCTGGGTCTCAGGCTGCGTAAGGGCAGAAGCTAGGATTTTGAACCCAGGCAAGATGACTCCAGAGTTTGTGAGCTTGAACAACTCTGGAAAGGTGCCACCCTTGGCCAGGAGCTGAGGACAGAGACTCCCGTGGGTAAGACAAACCCCGTCCCTGTCCTCACTGTCAAGTGAGGGTGAAAGGTGGTAAACAAACAACAGAACGTTTTTAATAAAAGGTGATTAAATAAAAGGTCCTCAATTGCAATTGTGAGAAGTGCCATGAAGG